CAATGGAAGCAATCAAAATCAACAAAAGAGCAATGATATACAAGTGCTATAACAAGTCTCAGTTAGCTTAACGCAGTACACGTAGCAAGTTTTTTTTAAATAATATAATAAATAAAAAGAAAACAGCTAGAATACAAAAAGAATAGAGCAAGCTAGTGTTAGAGGTTTTTTTGCTTTTGTTAATTGTATAATAAATGAAAAGAAAACAGATAGAATACAAAAAGATTAGAAAGCAAGTGTTAGTCTTTTTTTTTAAGAAAACAAGCAGCAAATGAATAGACTGCAAGTCTAAAAGGGACAAGTGTTTTTTTTTTTTTAAGAATAGAATTAGAATAGAGAGTGCTAGAGTTAGAGGGTCAAATAAAGATGGAAGAGATGTGTTTTTAGCCGATTCTTGAAGATGGCTAAGGGCAGCTGCTTGGATTGAGTTGGGCAGGTCATTCCACCAGGAGGGAATATTTCATTTAAAAGTCCGTAAAAGTGATTTTGTGCTTCTTTGGGATGGTTATTAATTCATTAATTTATTAAAAAGTATTTATTTATTCATTTATAAAAATATTTATTCATTCATTCATTCATAAACATGTATTTATTCATTCAAAATATTGTTTTTAATCATACATTCATTTATAAATTATTTATTTATTCATTCATAAAAATATATTACTTAATTCATTCATTCACAGAAAATATGTATTCATTCATAAAAACTTTTCATTTCTAAAATGTTTTCATTCATAATTTTATTAATTCTTTCATTATTAATTTATACAAATTTATAAATGTTCTTCATTTTTATAAATGAAAACGTTATAAAATGTTTTCATTTATAATTTTAATGTATTTATTCATAAAATGATTCATTCATTTATAAACATTTATTCATTCATTTGTTAAAATTATTAATTAAAATATTTCAATATTCATTTATTTATAAAATGTATTTATTTATTCATTCATTCATTATTCATTTATAAAAAATCTTTATTTAAAAAAAATATATATATTTAGTCATTTATCAGACACTTTTATCCAAAGCGACTTACAAATGAGGACAACAGAAGCAA